GTCCACTGGGCACGGCGGCCATTGATTGGCCTACTGTACCTGCCCTAGGTGGGTATGATGGTGGAGAATTTGGTGGAATGAAGATTGGCAGGGGAAACTGAAGTACTCGGAGAAAACCTGCCCCAGCGCCACTTTGTCCACCACAAATCCCACTTGACCAGACCCAGGATCGAACCCGGGCTGCCACAGTGGGAAGCCAGCGGTGGTGGGTGGTGGGCGGTGGGTGGTGCTAGATGGGCACTTGGCAGGCCCTCAGGTTGCGGATGGGGGAGACGCCCTCCAGGTATGGACAGAAGCTGCGAATATACTGAATAAGCAGTAGCGGACAGCTGCCAATGGGTGGTCCTCCAGCTCCTCGCCGTACAAAATAAGCTTGCTACGAAAGATCAAAAGAAGCCTCGGAACTGGATGGATTTCTTGGAAAAAAGACCTAAGATGAAGAAAATGGAAACGACATTTGGTACTTAGAAAGATATAAGTTTGTACTGGGCGAGTTCGCTCAGGGCAGTGGCGGAAGAAATCTTAAAATAGAAGTTAGATTTAGCGGGGGTACAGGAGGCCAGATGGGACGGAGGTGGCATCGCACCAGCAATCGAATATATACGTATTTTTCTATGAAAAGGGGAATGAAAGTCATGAATTAGACACAGTTTTTTCGTACATAAGAGAATCGTATTAGCAGTTAAGAATTCGTTAGTTATAGGTTGTCATACATAATACTAAGAGATGGCCGGTGTGATATCACCAGTCTGAATGTTCATGCCCCAACAGAACATAAAATTTATGATTTTAAGGACAGGTTCTATGATGAACTAGACGATATGTTTGATAAATTCCCGAAGTACCACATGAAAATTTTGTTAGGAGATTTCAATGCCAAAGTAGGGAGGGAAGACATTTTCAAACCAACGACTGGAAATGAGAGTTTGCATGAAATGAATATTGATAATGTAGTTAGAGTAGTAAACTTTGCCACATCAAAAAGATCTTACATTGTTCCCACATCGTAACATCCATAAATGCACTTGGACAACTCCTGATGGGGAGATACACAACCAAATGGACCTTATTTTTATAGATAGGAGACAGCATTCAAGTATACTTGATGTCTGATCATTCAGGGCAGCAGATTGTGATACTGACCACTACCTGGTGGTGGCAAAGGTTAGGGAAAGACTGGCAGTGAGCAAACAAACAACTCACAGAGTTCATATGGAGAGGTTCAATCTCAAGAAATTAAATGAGGTAGAGGGTAAAGAGCAGTATCGTATTGAAATCTCAAACAGGTTCGCAGCTTTCGAAAATTTAGTCACTGAGGGGAACTATTAGAGAGAATATCAAAATTTCTTCCAAGAAGAGTCTAGGATATTATGAAACGAAGAAGCATGAACCATGGTTCGATGAGAGATGTTCAAAGTTATTAGACCAAAGAAAATATGTAAAATTGCAGCGGTTACAGGATCCAAGCGAAATAAATGGGGATAATCTGAACAATATAAGACGTGAAACCAGCAGGCATTTCAGGAACAAAAAGAAGGAATATCTGAAAGACAAAATTGATGAGCTTGCAATGAACAGTAAGAACAAGAACATTAAGACCTGTATAGAGGAATAAATGACTTTAAGAGGGGTTACCAGCCTACCAGTAACTTAGTGAAGGATGAGAATGGTGATCTGGTTGCAGAGAAAGAGGCCACTGGGAAGACCAGAGCTTAGACGGGTGGACACTAAAACAATGGATCTCAGATAGGTTAGGATGGGATGGTATGGATTGGGTTGACCTGGCTCAGGATAGGGACCGATGGAGGGCTCTTGTGAACACGGTAATGAACCTTCGGGTTCCATAAATTGCTGGGAAGTTTTTGAGTAGCCGCACAACTGGAGGCTAGGCTTCTCAAGAAGGGCTCAGCTCCATGAGTGAGTGAGAAAAATATTTGACGGTCACACATTGATCTTAACTGCATCATGGAATATCGCATATCCACATGAGTGGCCTGAGGGCTCAGTCAGTATAACGACTATCATAGGAAATGGAGAACCAAGGATTCGGAGTTCGATTCCAAGCATTGGGGAAGGTCTCGTATCCAGTGTGGACTGGTGTCACATTCCCTTGGAATAAAGTAGCCGAGGTTAAGAATATGTGGATGTACACTTCCATTTTGTACGGCAAAATGACTGATTAAGCGCAGGGGAATTATGCCTTTATTGTGACATCTCTGACGGTGAATCATTCTTCAGTGTAGACAACTTTACGCAAGAAATTCCCTGTATGTCAAGAAAGATCTCCGGTTTCGCGATTTTGGTGCCGATCGTATTGTCGCATGTAAGGGGTTATGTGTGACTTATGAGACGGGGTTTGGATTGGATGATTGGATTTACTGACAGCTGATAAGTTCAACTCTGGACTACAGGAAAGTCAGCCCTATTGCTGATCTGCACACTTTACAGCTCACCGTTGCACGAACACACTAGGGTTCTCAGTCTCCACTGGTCGTATCCTTGCAACGGACTTATAACAGTCTCACTGTAACTTCAGATCATACAGGAAGTCTTCTTAGCACAGCCTAATTCCTATCTTGCTATTATTCTGCAACTGCCTACTCAATTCTTCTGCTCCCAAGCTCATATTCTGATAGGTTGGTGTCTGAAAATTCGACTCTTCTTTATAATCACTTTGCAGAAAACACAACCTCTGTATTATTGGAAAGGCGTATTTAGAGAACCGTTGCATAGCACCGGAATTTATTCCATTGTTGCTTGCGTATTCGTTACCGCTGGAATGTGTTTGTCAAGTCGTTGTCTAAAAACAAATTTCTATTTTTTCTTCACCATTCCGGCTTTCGGGCGTCATGTCACAGTGTTGAAAACAGAATCTGGTGAATTTACGAATGATTACGACATGTCAGTATCTGTGATGACGGGCCTCCGAAAGATGTTTCAGAAAGTATAACTTTCGAATATGGAACACAGCGGTGGGAATATCTCTCACATGTCTGTACCTCGGCGAAACAACGCAGGTGGTAATGTAGCTTCCTGCACCTGCCACAGTGGCCTTCAGAATTCCGGAAGAGAGAGTTGATACTGTTTCGCGAGATCCGCGACTATCGATCTATGGGAGCCGATGCTACGTCATGTTCGGAATCTTCGAACTTCAGCTAGCAAGATGGCTGTTCTGAGTGAGTTAGAGTAACCTAGCTCTTGTGCTTGATTAAGCACCGCAGCATGAAGACCAATGTACACGTATCCCTAGCCTCGGCATTATAGAGAAGTGAGGTGTCGTATTTACCCTCCGGCCGCTTTAACCATAGGGAAAGATAGGATAGGCTAGGAGACTGGCTTGCTCTGAGCCGTTCTGGACACTATGTAGTGCAGAAAAATATCTTGCACCTGCCGGCAATCGAACCCGCATACTTCGGTAGTCCAACAGTAGACCTATTACTTAGCTACCGCCGACCTATGTTCTCACTAAGTTTGGTCCGGATAAATTGCTGCTGGTCTTCGCCAGCACAGTCATTCTTGGTTTCGGGTCCCGTGGTAATCATGACCAAATCCGATTTCACCTACTTGTAGATTATTTAGCGATGTTGTGGGTAACTCAGCCCAGAATCAAGAATGACTGTGCTGGCCAGAACCAGCAGTAATTTACCTGAAACCGAAACCAAGCCATTAGCAGATGTTGCCAAAATTTGTTGATGCTCAAGTAGAAACAAAAATATTAGCCAATTCAAATTCTGCCACGTGGAAAGCATGTACACAAACACCTGTGCCTTCCTTTCCTCGTCTGTTGAGACTGTGGCACTTCTGGGAGTTACCGTTTGCGGAGCAGGTATTAAATTGATATGGCCACCTTTTCTATAGAACGTCGACTGATAGGATGACAGTGAATAATTTATTGTAGCATGTAGAGCTGTTGCTATGCGACGACCACGAGATGGGCGAACATACCAGATACGTTCCTAGGCAACGTCTCGGTAAACACTTTCCCGCAACAACAAATAGACGCGCAACAATAGAGGTACAGTTTGAAGCGAGGTGTTTCTCTGTGGGCCGTGCCGAGGAGTTCTCTTCAAGACAACTGGGGGTTACTCAGTCAATTCTGCACGGAAGTCTGGAGGAAAAGCTCAGTTGGAAGGGAGTCGCGATTCAGAGATGACTTGAGACAGGCGGCAGTGGAATAGCCATTGTTGGAGCCGTTACCAGGAGACGTATAGTAACAGACTCAGAACATTAGATCTGTGCTCTAGTGGACTGTAATTGTGGAAAGAGCGATAGTGTTATAGCTATGACCTGTAAGTGTTCAATAAAACGGGCACGCGGTAGCGTAGTTGGTTGAGGCACTATGCTACAAACCGGAAGATCGCGGGTTCAATTCCCGATTAGGTCATTGGATTTCTTCAATTCACCTAATTCTTCCAGCCACACTGGACACAGTAAAATATGGTTATGAGTCCCGTGGGATTCGGGCGAAAGAATGACTGCGCTGGCGAGACCAGCAACAGCTGTAAATTACAGACAAGTCCTCTGGCCAGAGAAGGCGCCCATATTTACAATCCTACAACTGTCTGATGGTAACAAAAATTTGGTCTCGGACCTCGGATGGGACTTAACACCAAGACAGACTGGCCTACTGACCGTCAATAGTAACATAACTTCGGCAATTTTTGTTGAATCAGTTGAGAGTTACGGTTATGAGAAATGAGAAGCTAGTAGCTGAACGGGGAACAGTTTGGCAACCCAGAGGAAGAGGTACGTCCGTTGTTCGAAGCTGTGGAGCTACACCTCCACTACCCCATATGTCTTCATGGCATAGTGCTTAACTAATTAAGATCAGGGCCAACTCGGCATTGGTGGAGGTGAGTGGCAACTCTCGGCTTCAGTTAGGTACTACTGTCACCATTTTCTTTCGTAAGAAGATGGAAGTAAGGAAGTAAGTTAAGCATAGTTTTAATTTATTTAATGACGCTTTATCAAATCTATAATTTACATATTATACATTTATACTCTAAAATCACCAAGGCTGTTATGCGTACCATCTGTGGGGACATCAATGATTTTGCATTTTTCTAACACATTGTATTGAAGTGTTTCATACGATTCTCGGAATAATCAGCGATCATTTTCATAAACAGAAGAAAGAACTGTGTCCCTGTTACTGAGACGCAGTAGTTCTCATTAAGTATTAAGTGATTTTTAAATACCATGTCCATAAACCTCGGGCTTCAGAAAGTTAAAGGATTGTTTTTAATTCTGGAACAGACAAAATCATTAAAGTAATAGGTCGTACAGCTTAAGAAACCTATTAAGGTGCTGTCCCGGTGTTTTCCTGCACGTTCTGAAGAAGAAATCACGAGAAACTTCAGAATAGCCGGGCGTCGAACCGAGATTCGAACCTTCGACATTCAGAAGACTAGACGCGACGATCGGTACAGTCGCTTAATTATAATACTGACATCAACAAATGAACTCGACTGTTGTCTGCATGTATTTTGACTTTTATTGGCGAATTTCTATTTTTCTGAATACTTTTTCCTCGAGATATTACCCCCGTTTGGAGGGAACGTAAGTGGTTTCAACACTGCACTCATCACTTTGCAGTCTTGCTGAGACAAGTCGCCCTTCTGACTGATGTCAAAATGAACAGTTTCGGAGCCCTAGGCCTTCTCTCACGTAAAATCTAAGTGTCAGTAGTGTTTTTGCTCTCCCTGTCCGCGGAAGATTCGCAGATGGCAGCAAGTGCTGACCGCGAAGTGTCTCGCAGATCTTCAGGCGTTGATGCGATGCTTGCTGGACTTCCAGGGTTGCTGCTGACGGGAGTTGACGGGCTGGGGCTGCGATTGCCTCCGCCAGTAGATGTCACCACAGCAGGCACTGTGCAAGAGCACACTTTACTGGTCACAGGCGGCCCGAACTGCGTTGCAGCCGATACTGCGGTCGGCTGTTGTTTGTCACACAGTTGCAACCTATAACAGTCATTTTCCTTTTCGTACAGGCCGTAATTACAGATCTGGTTCCTGTATTGCGCATGAGCAGTGGTTACAGTTCATTGCTGGAGGAGTGCATGGTGACGCACTGTAACAAGGGTCATGTCATAAAACACACACCCTACAATTCTTATCTCAGCCAGTGGACACGGCCTGATCCACTGTGTATTCCGTTGACAATGGACAGGCCTAAAAACACGAAAAGAGACTGGAAGAGGAAATGCTTCCTGAAAAAGCTACAGCAATGCACAACCAGATGCCAATTACATGAAGAAAGTAGGATAAAGTATTTTATACTTTTACTGGGCTTTTCTCCCGCTAGGTAAAGCGGCCGGAACGTGATTAGGTCTGTATGAACGCTGCTCAAATGAAATGATAAACTAAACAATACAATATATGAAGCCAGCAGGAATCTCAGGAATAAAAAGTGGGAATATCTGAGAGATAAGATTAATAACGCTTGTAAGAACAAGAACATTAGAGACCTATACAGAGGAACAAGTGACTTTAAGAGGGGTTACCAACCTAGCAGTAACTTGGATGAGAATGGTGATCTGCTTGCAGATTCCCACAACATTTTGTATAGGTGGAGGAACTACTTCTCTCAGTTATTGAATGTACATAGGGTCAGTGTGATGTTAGGCAGACAGAAATCCATACAGCTGAGCCATTAGTACCTGATCCTAGCCCTTTTGAGGTTGAAATTGCTATTGCAAAATTGAAAAGTTAAAAATCGCCAGGTGAGATAAGGTAAGGTAAAGTTAAAATTTATCCCTGTAACAGACCATGGAGTCCCATAGAGTTGTGAGACGTTGAGAGTCCCACATTATCTAGACAAAAGGCTCAGAGACGGCGGTAAGGTTGTCAGTCTTACGCGCCGGCCGCCCTTTACCTCCCAGAAAGATACCTGGTACCCATTGCTGTTAGAGGCTGAGTCGACCCCAGGGACATAGTGCGGCTGGAACGATTAGGTCAATTGAAAAACCCACCTCACCGGGACTAGAACCTGCGACCTTTCTGCTTGTAGCATAGTGCCTCAACCAACTACACTACCGCGTGCCCCCATAAATCGCCAGGTAGTGATCAAATTCCGGCAGAACTTACTCAAGCAGGAGGCGAAATATTACGTTCTAAGATCCATAAGTTTGGAAATCATTTACGCATCTGAAGGGGGTTGTTCTCGAAAGCGGAAGTTACACATTATACAGGTTCAGTCTAGCTTATCCTTTTGAATATTGAGCGCGTATGCTAATCAGCGACCATCAGAAGGCAGGAGAAGAACCGACTCATGAAATGTGTGTGGGAGCCACCCACATTGAATTAAGCGTTGGCCCATCAACGTGAACCACGGCAGCTCCAACGCCCATTGGTTCGCAAGTCGTTAGCGACAATGTACCTCCGACACGCCAGTAGTCAATCGCAGTCTAGAAACCATCCGCTGCTACCAAACGGCTCAGTAATCAGGTTTCCGTGGAAAAGGATTAGTACGATAATGCAACGTCAATGTATAAGACGGTGCTTCCTTTCTGATCAGTGCCTAAGTTACGTAGTGTGGACCAACCGGAGTCCTAAAGGATACAACGACGAGACAGCACAGAAACGGAGGAATTCCCATCGTCCGAAGCGCTACTAAGCAACGACTAACGAATGCACAACAGACTGGAATATTAGGAGTGTGTCTTAGTTGTTGTTAGAAGCTCGTCTGTATGCTCATTCCAGCAACAATATATATTACGGAGGTTTACTACGTGCTTGTCTCTTCAAGCATCGACAATCCCACATTGGTAACCCCGACGTGATGTGTATGTGTATTAAATCACATGTACCCTCTGCTTCACATCTTGGGGATACGCCATGCCTCGAGTAGACAACCTTATGGAAGATAAAGTCCCTTGTGTTCAACGAGATCCCCCGTAGAACAGTCTTCATTTCCACTGAATGTTCAACATTATATTTAGTAAATTTGTAACGAGAGCACACGTCGATGTTTCATAATGACGCATGGTCAGATGTGTTTTAGAGAGAGCATAAAGATAAATGGTGAAATGTAATGTTGGTATTACCCGTGCATCATCCTAAAGCCGTCACTGCAACCAGCAGAGATTTTCAAACTCGTAGAGGCAGATTCAGACTCCTGCTGAGGAAGTCCTGGGTGCGATGCTCTACCTGAAATATAATTTAAAAGGTGTAAATAAATGTTCATTTGTACTGCGTGTTTGTCCAATCTAGATGTCAACTTTAGGCGACGTCACGTGATTGTACATCATGCAGAATAGACAATTCTACCATTCATTATACACGTAAAAGTTAATGAGAGACAAAGCTAACCCTGTAACAGGCTGTGGGGCCCCATAGGTTTGTGACACGTCGAGGCTCCCACAGTTTCTAGACAATCGGCTCACTGACGGCGGTGAGATTGTCAGCCTCACGCTCCTGCCGGCCTATATTTTCTCCCTGAAGATTTAATTTCTGTTAGAGGCTAGTCGATTCCAGGGCCACATTGCGGCTGGAAGGATTGGGTCAACTGAAAAGTCCAATGACCTCACCAGGAATTGAAACCGCGACCTTTGGACTTTTAACACAGTGTCTCAACCAACTACGCTACCGCGGGGCCACAATATCACATCTCGTGAGTCAAGTCCACTGCTGACAGGCCTCTACATTTATATTGAGAGTGGCATTAAGTCTTTCCATGTTAGGTGGGTGCCTTGTCACCGCGGCATGGCGCGTCCTCAGGTTGCGGATGGAGGAGACGACCTCCAGATATGGAAATTAGCTGCGAATATATTGAAATAAACTGTCGGGGACAGCCGAAAAGGGGTGGTCCACCAGCTTCTGGGTTTGGCGTCGGGCTAACAACTCTTCACCGTATAAAGTAAGCTTGCTAAGGAAGATCAAAAAAGCCTCGGACCTGGACGGATTCCTTTGAGAGAGACCGAAGATAAAGAAAATGAAAACTAGCAATAAAAAACGTAGAAAAAATTTGCGTTGAGCAGTACTGGTGTGTGGAGGAAATATTTTCGACCAAGTTTGCTTATAAAAACAAAAGACTGCAATTGAATTATTTTGCCTTCAAATAAAACAACATCAAATACACAATTCTACAAAATTCACTAATAGAAATACCCACTATAAATTCAGCCCTGTATGTTTCGCTGTGTTCCCCTCGTTTTAATATGCAGCTACTCATTGCTCTGAATGATGTGAAACGTAAAAGTTGGCAGCTTTCGAAAGAAACAATCATCTTCTCTCGTTACAGTTGTTGTAATTGTATTTCTGTAGTTGTAATTGTATTTGTTCTAGCTGTAATTGTATATGTGTAGTTCTAATTGTATTTGTTCTGGCTGTAATTGTATATGTGTAGTTGTAATTGTATTTGTTCTAGCTGTAATTGTATTTGTGTAGTTCTAATTGTATTTGTGTAGCTGTAATTGTATTTGTTGTAGCTGTAATTGTATTTGTGTAGCTGCAATTGTATTTGTTGTAGTTGTAATTGTATTTGTGTAGCTGTAATTGTATTTGTTGTAGCTGTAATTGTATTTGTTGTAGTTGTAATTGTATTTGTTGTAGTTGTAATTGTATTTGCATTGTATTCATTGTGTGTAGTGTGTCCTTTATTTTTTGTGTAGTTTTGTGTGTTGTTTTATTTTGTGTGATGTGAGTTATTTGTGTGTCGTGTCTTATTGTAGCACCACTGCCACCTGGTTTAAATAAATGATGACAATGATAATGATAAATAGATAAACTCTGCACTTATCCACGCTCATACAGTAAATCACGATTTTACTAAACATGCAAGCTCTAACCAACGGAAATTTGTTTACACTTATGTAGACTAGTGGAAATATTATGGATCTAACCCGTGACGTTTTAAATACTAGGCTATTACCAGAATCAATGCATCACAGAGGAAACGCAGAAATGTCTGTTGTGGCAAATATTTCCATCACTTATGTCGTCACTTCCTGTCTCGCGGTACTTTGGACCACATACAACTCATGTCACTTGTTCACCTACGCGATAATTCCTTGAATTCGCTCCAACTAACTCCATGGAGCTGAGCCCGTGTTCAGAAACCGCCAGTTTTGCAGCTACTCAAGAATTTCCCGTCTTATGTAACCCGAAGTTTCTTTCACGTGTTCACAAGAGCCCCTGCACTGGTCCCTACCATGGGCCAGATAAATCAAGTTCATAGCACCATATCCCAACTCTCTAAGATCCATCTTAATGCCCCGTTACTTCGAAAATAAATGCCCTCGAATTTAATAAACATCTGGTTTTAGGCAAATAATTAGAAAGGTGAAGATACTTTGAATTTAAGACGCAACTCAATTTTTCAAGGGGGAAAATGTGTAAAACATGCGTTATATTCGAAATAATACGTCATAATCTTCCCATCTACGTTTACGTCTTCTTAGTTGTCTTTTCCCCCCTTGCTTTGTCGCCAAAACCCTACATTTCCTGTTTTCCAATTTGTTATGCGCTGCCTAAAATATCTCTGAGTGTACGTCACACCTTGAGCAGGGAAACTTACATAAGAAGAGTCCTATTTCTTCAACGAGATATCTTGTACAGCCATTTTGATTTACACTATTTGTTGAATATACAAAACTTCCTAATAACGATACAATGACATATGTCACTACAAAATGAACCGACTAGGCTCGTGTAGGGTTCCGATGTCGGCCTGTTCACGGGCTATCCTCATTGATTTCTTTCGTGGTTCTCCTCAGTTCGTCCAGGCAAATAGTACGTCAGATAGGCTACAGAGTTCTCTTCCACATCAACTCGCCTTACAGACTAGATACTATGGCAAACCCAGAAGACAATAGGCCTTCTCTGCTTTGTATCCAAACTCTTGCAGTCAACCTAGAATGAGCTCACCTAGAAGCAATGGCGGGGCGCCAAGTCCTAGACACCTCATCCTCCAGGCATCCTGCAGCAGTTGCAACCGTGCCTGCTTCCGCCACTTGGCGCGTCTGTTCTGGAACCACACCTGGGAAAACATCACCGTCACTTACTTCTCGTGCACGCGTCCTGCACCTCGCCGGTATACGTCGGATCTGAGCCCGACGTTTCGGAGGGTCGAAGGGTAAGCCAAGCGCGATGCCAGCAGAAACAGAGAGCATGATAAATCCTGGAGGTATTTACTATTATTTTTAATTTTAATTTCTTGGGGTCGGGTAAGGCTCAGTTAACTCGGTACGTCGGTAACTAACTGACCTATTGTACCAGCACCGGATGATAGATGACGAATATTGAGCAGTCGGTGGAATAAGAATTGGCAAGGGAAACCGAAGTACTCGGAGAAAACCTGCCTCAGTGCTACTTTGTCCACCACAGATTCCACATGATATTACCCGGGCTCGAACAAGGGCCGCCGCGGTGGGAAGCCGGCGACTAACCGCTTGAGCTTAATGCTACATGTTACTCCGAAATATCGGTCTCTCTCTGCGTTACAACCCAGAAGACTGTAATCTTCACAATTTGCGGGTTGATTTGAATGGGCAGTATAGCGATACGTATCCGTATATCCTTGCTGAAAGCTCTTACAGAGGAAAAGAAGAAGACCACAAAAAGCAGGAAACATTGGATATAATTTTCTCTTAGCGGTGACTGCGAAGAATTTTACTGTGGGACGGAACACTTCACCGACTCTGCTTGCTGGTAGCACGCTTGGCTTACAATTAAACACTAAAAATGGGTGCAGCACCTTCCTCCTAAACACATCCCAAAGATAGTACTCCTCAAAGACAGAACACCTCATCCTCGACGGACGGCGAATTTGCCATTGCGGTGACATTTGGGTAAACAGCCCCAATTTCGTGACTCATCTTATTTTGTGGCGTGACACACTAACTTAGCGTGTCCACACTCCCTTTTATTTTCACACAGCTCCAAGAAATACGGTATGATATGTCACGAAATTGGATGAGGTTACCACATATGCCTCTATGCACATGACTCTGTGATATAAAAGGTAAAGGTATCCCTGTAACAGGCCGTGGAGGCCCATAGGGCTGTGAGACGTCGAGGCTCCCACATTTTTTAGACAAAGAGCTCACAAACGGCGGTGAGGTTGTCAGCCTTGAGCGCCGGTAGGCCTTCACCACCAGGAAGTTTCCTGGTACACATTTCTGTCAGAGGCTGAGTCGACTCCGGAGTCATAGTGTGGCTCGAAGGATTAAAGTCAATCGAAAAATCCAATGACCTCATCCGGAATGGAACCCGCGACCTTCCGGCTTGTAGCATAGTGCCTCAACCAACTGCGCTACCTTAAAGTTCTGAAATGACGCGAAGCGGTTATGCAACGTGTAGTTCAACCGAGCACCTTAAAACGGCAGAAAACTTGTGCTGAGGATGGACCGTTTGTCGCGTGCTTAGATATGAGCACGCTTTATAGTAGAGTCTGTGCAAAGTAAGGTATTGTGGCGTACAGACTCTTTGCTAAGCGGTGGCTCTGCAAACAGCAGCTGTAGCTTGGTAATGCCCACGCACGCAACAATAAATCCACGGAGTTATGCAAGCCGTTTCTAGGTAACGGGTCGGTAAACAAGCCTACAGTACTACAGTATTGTTGAGAACGGTGATTTCAATTCGATCCGTGCAAAGTGGTTATAAGGTATAACATTAGGGCAACCCAGTTCAATTCCGCGTGGAGGTGGGGTCGAAAACTTTCACCGTAGCCCTGTCAGTCGTAGGAGGCGACAAAATGCAAGTCTCGAATCTGAAACAGTAAAATATGGTCGCGAGTGCCACGGGACTCGGACCCGAAAATGACTGAGCTGGCGAGGACCAGCAGTAATTGTAAACGACAGACCCATCCTCTCGTCAGAGAGAGCATCCAACATCAACAAACCCGAAACTGCCTGACAGTAATAGAAATCTGGTTCTGAGCCCCAGATGGGTGCTTTATGCCAAGACAGACTGACCGACTGACCGCCTGTCCTAACATAAGACTCAGGCTCAATTCAATTCAGTGAGAGATGCATTCGTAAGAGAATTCAGAAGGCAGTTCAAAAATTGAGGATTCAGCCGTGAAGTGTTAAAATCTTTGGGGTGTTATAATTATTTGTAGTTACGACCTGTGAGTATCCAATAAACCTATTCATCTAATCCAGAACCCATTGTTATTGGTTACGACCCTAATACACGTGACAACATACAGATCCACGTTTTCTTGACCTCGGCACTAGTTGGATGTGACTGGTCATCCTCCCGGCTCGGTCGGGTTACCTCTCGGGGAAAGAGCCCCTGGTCTCCATTGGATAGGGGGTTGGGTGGGCCCCAGAACCGGCCTGGACGACGTGGAGAAGAGAAAATTCTTGACCTTACTGGGCTCGAACTGCGACCCACTTTGTCGTTCAGCCCGTAGCCAGTCGCTATACCGGCTGTCACTGTCGTATTTACGTTCTGCACAAAAATCGAAATCTACAGATTTTGCTTGGTGCTCCAAGCCCGTTCTCAACACAAAACTGCAGAAACATGTTCCTTGTCTGTCTGTTGGTCCGTTTGTCCGCATGTAACAATTCGAAAATCACCTAACTGATTTTCATAAAGGGTTCTACCTTCTGGTATACAACGCCGTTGTTGAAAGTCGAACGACGTTCCGGAAGAACATGACGGCTCCATCTTCAGGGGCCAAGAATAAGCCAAAAAAGTAACCAGCGTGAAATCAGGAAGCAAACAGTTACTTTCACTCTGGTTTCTTGCTTGGCTTATTCTTCGATCCTGAAGATGGAAGCGATATCTTCCTCCGAAATATCGCTTGACTTTCAACGGACTGTAAGGTCTTATATCCCAGAAGGTAGAACATTTTTAAACGACCGCCGTGAGAAGCTACACGGATTTTCATGAAATTTCTTACTGGTCTCGAACAAGTCAAATTTTGGTTAAAACGACACTCGATAATGCACGCTTTATATACAAACTTATATACGTTCCCTAGTGCAGCTCGGACCACTCATATATTGTCACGTGTAGTGGTGACGTATTACAGTAGTTTTGAACTGGATGATTAAATTTATTGACGCCTTGTTCACACAACTCGAGACTACAGGCAATACCGTAGTAGCAACAGCAATGGCAGTAGTAGTAGTAGTAGTAGTAGTAGTAAGGACAATAGTAATAAAAAGAATAACAACAAAGAAAGAGAAGGGAACGTTTGGGCCCAAGAGGGAGCAAGTACCGCGAGGCTGCAGAAAATTGCACAGTGAAGAGCTGCATAATCTTTACTCCTCTCCCAAACACTATCAAGAATGAACAAACCAAAGATGAGTTGGACGAGACATGTAGCAGGCAGAGAAGGGTAGAGAAAGTGCGTAAAAATTTCGATGGGGATAACCCTGAAGAAAAAGAGAACTCTGAAAATATAGATGTAGATGGGAGGATAATGTTAAAATTGATCTTAATGAAACAGGACGAGATAATGTGGACTGGATTCAGCTGGCTCTGGATAGGAAGCAGTGGCTGGCTCTTATGAACACGGGTTCTATGAAATTATGGTAATTACTTAATTGGTTGAGAAACTACTGGCTTTTCAAGAAGACCTCTGTCCCATGATCATGATCATGATCATAATGATGATAATCTATATAAATAAAAATAACTCTCTGGAGCTGAGTCCTTCTTGAGAAGCCGCCAGTCGCTCAGCTACTCAAGAATCTCCCAAAATTTTATGGAATCCGAAGGTTCATTACCGTGTTCAAAGCAGCCCTCCAAAGGTCCCTAACCTAAGCCAGACCAATCCCATCCTATCTCTCTACGATCCATTTTAACATTATCAACCCTACTACGTCTTGGTCTTCCTAGTGGTTCTTTCCTTCTGGATTTTCCACCAATATCGTATATGCATTCCTCTTTGTCCCATTCGTGCTACATATCCTGTCCATCTCATATCTCCTTCACTGATCATTGTAATTATACTTGGAGAAGAGTACAGGTTATGAAGCTCCTCATTATGCAGTTTTCTCCACCCTCCTGTCACTTCATTTCTCTTCGGTCCAAATATTCACCTCAACACCCTGTTCTCAAACACCCTCAGTCTATGTTCCTCCCTCAATGTCAGAGACCAAGTTCATTCATTCATCAGTGGCTCTACAGGCCCGATGTGGGGCATTGGCCTCTTCTTCAGTTTCGTAATCTTTTTTCACAGTCGGTAGGACTCCTTGGACGGGTGATCAGCCCTTCGCAAGGCCGCTACCCACACAGACGTCGGTGCCTTGAGCGGCATTCCATCCCACGATGCGAGTGTTTGAGCGAGCGAAAACAGTTCATGCCTTAGACCGCGCGGCCACTGTGATGGGCTCTGAGACGCAGTTACACAAATATTAACAACAATTTGAAATCTTCTGGACCGACCAGTAACTGCCCTTTAGTTTCAGTCGTGTTGACTCTCAGGAAGTCGCACTTACCTGGACTCGAGCTTCGGACAGGCTGATCCGGAGGGCAACTTCCTCGCGAAGGAATACATCAGGGTAATGAGTCTTTTGGAACAGCGACTCCAGTTCTTGCAACTGTTGCGGAGTGAAAGTAGTTCGGTTTCGGCGCTGTAAATATTATTAAGACATAAAATGTTATGGCACAGAGTGTGGGCCCCTCAAACACACACGTCTGAAATCAATTGGGGCACCTTTCTTCTCAAATGCGAATAGCGCACAGACAAAAAATTTCTTTCATTTTTTAGAACCCTAAAGTTCGTTACAGTGGTCCCTAAACTCTACAAGCATAATCCAGCTGACAACATACTAATATAAGATCTCTTTTAACAGTATCCTTCCATACGCCCCTATATCTCAAAAGAGGGCTCTTCCCTTCAAGTTGCTTGACCAAATCTCTGCATGCATGTCTCATTTGTTGGACGCGTACTACTTGCTGCGCCCATCACGGTCTGCTTTTACCGGTTCTCACGGTCTCTTCGCTTGCGGATTTCTTATATTTTTCCTTCTACCCTGAAGATGGAGGCGATACGTTCCTCCGAAACGTCGGTTAACACCACATATACACGGTGCCAAATCCCAGAAGACTGCTTTCTTCATAGTCACCGCCGTGAAAGCCTCAAATCTTACAACCTCTGAATGTTTGCCAGATTGTGTTGATGCCGAATACTACAATAAGGACATAGCAATTCCATACTTTTGTGGGTTATTTACTACGTGTCGTGTGAAATCAATCGGGACATTACAGGGAATATTTAGTATAAACATTCTGTAAGGTTTTTTCCAGAATACTCGACCCGGTGAAAGCCGTGACACAAATTTTGGGGGAGGGACTGAAGGGCCGCACAAAACCGGCTGATGCGTCTGCTTTCCACGTGTGGACATCCACGGTTTAAGCGCCATTAAACATTTCGCTTAGGGTCCAATAACGGGATTTTGTGAATATATTAATACACGGTAAGGTTTCATTAGGGGAGAGCATTTCTTGACAATCCAACTATTCAATTTTCAAGAATGACCGACAACTCCATATTGACAGCAACTCCCAGCGATATTAACAAAGAGAAAAGCACAACAAACAACGAAACCTTAAGATAACAATTGGATAAAAACTATATAAGGGCCAGGGCAGAGAATTAGACAAAATAACATTAACCAGCAGCAATAACCGACGAGTGAACATAGGAGGGAGAGTCAGTAAACAGGTCACAAATAGAAGTAAAACAGCTCTAATGGCTGTAATAGGTTTTCTATGTGTACTACTAGGTAGCAGCACAGTCCAGCTTCATGACAATCTAGGTAGCAGACGTTCATGCGCATGTTCAGAGGCTGGTTTCAGTGGTCAAAATGGCGACCGTGTTTGAGGGGTATACTACCGCAGAGCAGCGTCATGTGTGCGTTTCTTGTGGGCAAAAAATTAAGTGCAAAGATAGTCATAAAGAAATGTTTCCTGTTTACAGTGGGAAGTGTTTGTCCCGTAAAGCCGTTCACAAGCGGGTCGAGAAATTCTCTCAAGGACGTTCGAATGTCGCAGATGATGCCCGATCGGGTGCGTAAGTGGCCGAGACAACAGTCAAAAACTTCTATGCTGCGGGTTTCGACGCAATGGTACAGCGATGGGACAAGCGTATTAATGTTGGCGGAGAATATGTCGAGACATAAGTGATTTTTTCAGGTTCGAATATCACATGTTTTACGTTTTATATCCATTTGTGACGTATTTACTAACGCTTCCTCGTATATAGAGAGAACGCTAATGGAAATGTGTTAGAACTGAACATTAGAATTAAAATTTAAAAACGCAATTAAATTCGACGGAGTATAAAAGGATATAACTGTATAAGAATGAATAAAACAATTACCATTGTACGAGTAATTTTAACCTTGTTATTTGATATACAAGTCTCTGAATTAGGTTAACGTAGACACATCGGCCATTGCCTAAAACAATAGCAGCCATTTCGTTAAAAGGAATTAAACGTAGACTGAAAATGGCAGATATAGTCGAATCATGTTGCTCATATATATTGTGTACAGTGGACTACAACTGTGTCAAAACACTGTGTGGACGGTATAATGATGCATATTGCTTTCAAGAAAATATACCACGAAGCAGGACATTCAGAAGTGTAGCTATGAAGCGTAACCAGGCTGGCAAAGCTTCCTGTAGGTATGAAGAAAGTCGTCTTCTGGATTTAGGCGCCGTGTATTCTTCGTTTTGGCCGACGTTTCGGAGGAACCTATCGCCTCCATCTTCAGAGCAGTTGAATGGCTTGGAATGCAGAGAGCAGTAGCTGTAGTGATAGGAAGTGCAGTAGCTGTAGGTTCCTCCGAAACGTCGGCCAAAACGAAGATTACACGGCGCCTAAACCCAGAAGACGACTTTCTTCATAGTCATCGCCGTGAAAACCTCAAAACTTACATTCTTGTAGGTAGTCTACTGAACAGTATAACACATATCGGAGCATAGCTAAGAGTTTAGTAGAATTTGCCCCGTTTTCAGCAACTTCAAGAGGCTACTCAGTCCAGCCTTACCTGGCGTCGACGTCCGAACATGTACTCCGACAGTAGATCCCCTGGTAGAGGTGACAGGAACGGACCAGCCATGGTAAATTACAGCGTCGTTCTGGAGGGATGCATAACCTGTACGTCGGGGTGTACTGCGTCGCCACGCCCAACATACCCCTTGCCATTGGTAGAAATCGGGATAGGCGTCGGGCTGACCACCAATAACTGGGAGCCAAGGGAGGAACATTGTGGGGAGGGGGGAGCCCAATTTTATTACGTAAGTCACGGAGATGCTGCAGTAGAACGCCGGAAGCTGAGAACCCCCGAGGGAACGGAGAAACGTTCCCGGTTAATGATGACAGTTGCTCCACGCACACGGAGCTAAGGAGCGGGCTATACAAAAACGTAAAACAAACGTTCCATTTCTACTTTCTCGTGACGTATTTTGTACGATCACGAATAAAATCTCTCCCGGGATTTTGACGGATTTACGCGTTTTCAGTCCCCCCAGCCCAAATTTGGGGTCGTGATGGCTCAGTCGGTACAGCGACGAGCTACGTGTTGAACGGCCGGAGTATGATTCCCGGCAGTACGAAATGTTTCTCTTCTTCACAACGTGCAGACCGGCTCTGGGGCCCACCAAGCCTCCTATCCAGTAAGAACTTGGGACTCCTTCCCTGGGAGTAATGCGGCAGAGGCGTGAAGCTGATCATTCACCTCCATCTAATGCTGAGGTCAAGAATGGTGGAGCCATATCTCCACTCCGCCATATATCTTCATGGCATATTGATTAATTAATTAAGCACGGGGCAAACTCATCTTTACTTTTTACCCTCCACAACAATTGCGAAATGGTTCTCATATGCCGTCTGTATGTATGTATGTGTGTGTGTGTGTATGTATGTATGTATGTATGTACGACTCGCTCGCACCTGAACTGTTGGACTGAATGTGCTCGTATTCGTCAATGGAGAGTCAATCCGCCATCTTGGGTCGATGTCCGGTGAATATGAACATAAAACAATAAGTTCTGGAAACAACTAATAGCCTACGTTCCCTTTATATGACACGGACCGGGTAGAAAACGACGCGTCCAACAATTATTCCATTGTTGCATGTGTATTCGTTGCCGCTGTAATATTCTTACCGAGTCGTTGCCTATCAACACACACATACTAGTGGGAGGGATTTATGAAGTACGCCGTTGAGATGGGCGCAGGTGCTATGACATGAATACCAAGTTTCATGAAGAGTGGTTCAGGTATTCGAAAGTTGATGGGGGTATACACACAGACAGCATAACGATCGCATAAGCGTGCTTTAAGACAGTTGCCTAAAAATGTAAATGTGTCCCTGTGTCGAGTAATTAAGCACCAAGTCACAAAGATATATGGGGTGGGGTGGAAACTGGAGGTATAGCTCCGCCATTCTTGACCTCGGCAATAGATAGAGGTGACTAGTCAGCTTCACGCCCCTTCCGCTTTAATCCAGCGGAAAGAGCACCCGGTACCCATTGGCTAGGAGGCTGGGTGTGAACACAGAACCGGCCTGGAACGACATGGAGAGAGAAAAATCTTGCCCTTACAGGAACTCGAACTCCGACCCCTCTGCCGTTCAGCCTGTAGCCAGTCGCTATACCGACTGAGCTATCCCAGCATTTGTATATGAGTACTGCAACTTTAAAAATCTGGGCCCTTCAGATTGGTCAAGTACGCTTACTCATGGAGCTGAGCCCTTCTTGAGCGGCCAATTCTGCAGCTGCTCAAGAATTCCCCAGCATTTTATGGAACCCGGAGGTTCCTACAAAGAATAGGGATTTTTTCTAAACACGTCCAAAAGTTTTCATTAAATTTCAGTGATACATGAAGACCATTTCTCTAAATAAAATTACAAAAATCGTAACGCCAGGAATACGATAAAACGGCACACACACTACGGGGCCAAAATGCTAAATCACTGCACAGCCGGTATAGCAACTGGCTACGGAGTGGACGACCGAGGGGTCGCAGTTCGAGTCCCGTAGGGTCAAGAATTTTCTCTTCTCCATGTCTTCCAGACTGGATCTGGGATTCACCCAGCCTCATAGCCAATGGGTACCGGGGGCTCTTTCTCCGGGGGTAAAGCGGCCTGTTCATGGAGTTGACCACTCATCTCCAACTGGTGCCGAGGTCAAGAAAACGTGGATCTATGCATCCACTCCCCCATACGTCTTCATGGCGTAGTGTTTAATTAGTTAAGCACAGGGACAACTTTACCTTACTGAAGCCGTTGCTAGACAAGGGCCGCCGCGCAACAATGGAAGTACTGTTGGAAGCAGTATTTTCTTTGGATCCGCTCGCAGGCTATGCCACTCGACCGGCCAAGTTGAGGTTGTAGAGTAAGATATGTAAGTTAGGTGTGATCTGCTCTGTAAAGCCTGTACTGACAGAGGACTTGTGTGTAGTGCAAAAGGAAGAATTTTCAGTAACACGCTATATGTGCGAAATATACATTTGACGAAAGGTCAAGCGTACTCATAAGAGACAAACCCATCTTCTCGTCAGAGAGGATGTTACGTAAGGACAATTACGGCAAGAGTTCAGTTGGAAAAGATCTCTGGTAGTGGGCCTCAAGGGGCCTGGCGCCAAGACGAACTTATTGCCGGTAAACCGCCAGTCATAAAGTAGCCCTGGCTTTGACTCTGAGGTAGTTTAGAGAGAGCAGTGTGGTGTTGTGGAGTGGGTTGCTGAGTGACTTAGTTGAGAGTTCGGCAATTTGAGGCCAGTTAGGTCAGCTCGGGAGCCGCAGTGAAAGCCAGCTAGGACCTGAAGCCGTTAACACGGAAGCTGAGGGATCTACAGCTTTGGAAGCCGTTACCAGACACCGACTGGGGAGGACATAGCAGACTGAGTAGATTTAGTGCGTGCTGTAGTGAACTGCAGAATGTGCGAACTAGCGATAGCGCTATAGTTACCTGTAGTCACGGTTTGTAAGCGTTCAATAAATCCGATTACTAATCCACACCCCGTCTATAGTCACACATACACGTGAAAATATCATCTAAGCAATGTTGCTATCTAGAGGAGAAGCTTTAGGTTTGGGCAGTCTAATAGTTACTCAAGATTAGTGAATTTTGAGGACTCTGCCGCTTTTGAGTAAATTTCTTACATTACCGATAATGTAACAGAAATTCAGGAGTGTCTATCAAACTAAAAGATTATATTTGCCACTCAGCTTGCTGTCTGATTATTGCCCGTTGCTTGGTAAGCATACCTTAAACCCTCAAGACGGAGGCAGTACCTTTCTCCGAAACGTTAAACTACCAGAATACACGACGTCACATACCAGAAGTTACACTGTTCATGATATCTAAAGTTGTCACTACCGCGAAACACAATTTTCTGGTTGTGATACCAGATGGTTTGGCATCTCCACGTTTCGGAGGAAGCTGCAACTAGTTCCATCCTGAATTTGGGGCAGAGAATACCTCTGAAAAGTTGGTGTTTACTTAAAAAATTACATGGCATCACACTCCAAAAGGACCTTCATTCGAATATGGAAACATACTGGGCGTAAAAAGACAAAGCTGTCCCTCTGGCTGTGAAGATCTAATCTGTTGGCTTGTAACACCGTGTATTTCGGCAGAAGTTCACTCGACTTCACGTTTGAAGAACAACGATGCAAAACACTGGCAAGCACACATTTCGTCACCTGAATGCTGGAGAGTGCTACCCCCATCAACTCCATTCCTCGAGAAGCTGAGTTTGAAATTAGTTTCAACTGTAATTTAAATGTGACTTAGAACAGAACGCATTTTGAAATATCATATTTGCACGTAAGGTGAGCCCACGGAAGTCTGGAGAGAGTGTTGCTTAGTGCGGAGAATCAGACAATTATCTCATGCAGCAGTGGGCAGGCAGCAACATGCCAATTGTACCACCGATGAGCGGTTCGCTCTGCTTGCAGCCTGCTTCTTGCTGGTGCCTTGCGTGACTTAGTTATCGTGGTGTCAGGAGTGCCACGGATTGAAGCAGACCGAGCACATTGGATCTGCGACTACTTCGGGGAGCTATATCGCCACATTATGGAGACGGAACAAATGATGGAACGCCTGATGGCAAAAATGGACGCCAATACTAAAGCAATGGAAGAAAGGACGGAAGTCAAAACGGAAGAACTCCATGATGAACTGCAATAGAAAAGTCTCCCGAGAGGAGATGAGTGCCATATTCGAAGTCAATCGAAAAGAGACAACGTCCTCTCAGGTAACGACGGAGTCGTGTTTGGACAATAAGGAGCTGCATCCGGAAGACGTGGAATCTGAAGTGGAACATCGGGAGGTCCCTATGGAAGAGGACGCGGTGAAACCTTCCGGAACAACGAAGACGAGAGGATGGGTCTGTCTTTTTTACACGCTGCTGGCCCTTGCCAGCGCAGTCTTTTTCGGATGCTAGTCCCTTGGGACTCGCGACCATATTTTACTGTCTCAAATTTGAGACTTCCAATTTCATCGTCTCCTACGACTGGCAGGGTCACGGTGGAGATATTCGATGACGCCTCCACGCGGGTTTGAATTCGTTCTTGTCTGCACGGCGGTCGCCATGGAAAATGTTGGTTGCTTGTTCGTATCCGTGGAAGCCTCTGTTGATTCCGTTGACACGGAAAGCTCGTTCTGTACCAAGTTGATCCCCACGAATCCGCATCTCCATGGAAACGTGTTAATTTCGTAGCAACGCTTTGGCTTCTACAAGCTTATCTATTGCCGTGGATTCGTGTCTTAGCGAGCCGTTGTCTAGTAATGAACTATTCCGGCTTTCAGGCGCCATGTCACTTTAGTGAGCCGTTGTCTAGCAATGAACTATTCCGGCTTTCAGGCGCCATGTCACTTTAGTGAACCGTTGTCTAGTAATGAACTATTCAGGCTTTCAGGCGCCATGTCACTTTAGTGAACCGTTGTCTAGTAATGAACTATTCAGGCTTTCAGGCGCCATGTCACTTTAGTGAGCCGTTGTCTAGCAATGGACTATTTCGTCTTTCAGGCGTCATGTCACATAAGCAAGCCGTCGTCTAGCAATGGACTATTCCGGCTTTCAGGCGTCATGTCACAATACAATGGCATTTTGGTGGTCATCCATGGAAGCTTGAAAGTCACTTAAATAATACTTAAGAATCTAGTTTATGCCTCAGATTCCTCTACATAGAACCCAGGTTACTAACGTCAAGAAAAACGAACTGCATTTACTTTAATAATTGGTTAATCTTAATTCGAGATATAATTTCTGTTTATTCTGAGAGTCGCGTCAATAGCTACCGACTTGCTTGACTCTGTCTTCTAAAAATTTTGGTTCTCCTTGCGATAAATGTACATTCTCTCTATATTATTAATGCTTTTACGCCATTTTTTCAATTTCGTCACTCGTAAATCATTCTGTACATCCCCCAGTCATCACTATGCTTTTGGACTATTATTATACCCACTAATTACAGAGATAAACAGTGCGGACAGAGGGCAGAGCTTTTGTTAAAGCAGATGGAGCGTACGTTAAGCACTGCACATGAGCTTACCTCGATATCAAGTTAAGAATGACTGTGGTTTGCACCTACCAGCTCATAATATTCAGTGTTCTGTGCCTGCCTGTGCCGAAACAGTGCACGAATGACGTTAATAAGTCGGAGATAGTCAGTTGATTAATTAGAA